CAGGGCAGGCCAGGGGCTGGGTGAGTTGTTTTGGGTGGAATTAGCCAGAGCCAGAGAACCAGGTGAGGCCCGAGAGACCAGACAGGTGACCACAAAGGAAGCTCCTGAGCTGGTGCAGGCATAGGGTCTGTCTGCCAGGCATCAGAACCGAAGCCTGACCTGGACCACCCCACCGTAGACTCAAGAACTTGCACTTCACGCCAGGCTCCAGAATCCCCACTCGAATGTCTGAGTGCCCCCTTCTTGGAAGCTGTGCCACCACGGTGCAGATGCTCGTCCACGTCTCAGGAAAGGCCCCTGCCCTGCGCTCAGATCTTCCTGCCACCTCTTTGTCACAAAGCCAATGTAACAACTACATCGAAGATATAATAAATCAGGGTGGCTGACGCACAATACAATACACAGATGATGTATTTGTAGAATTGTATACCTGAAACCTATATAATTTTATTAACCAATGTCACCCCCAATAAATTCAATAAAAATAAATAAATAAATAAACAAACGACAACAATGACGAAAGATACAATAAACAGAAAACAAGTCCACTAGGCATGGCACCACCTAACACAACCTGCACGGTATCACCCAGCCCCTGTCACTAAGGGGGAAGAAGGGTGTCAGCCCAGCAGGAGCCCAGCATCCCCTGCACGGTCCAGCTCAGTCTGCACCGGATGGCAGAGCTCTCCACCTGCATTTACAGAAGAGGAAGCAGCCTGGGAGATAAAGGGCCTGTCTGAGGCCATGCAACCAGGAAGCCAGGAGCCGGGAAGCAGAGGTATGACAGTTAAGTCCTCCCCTCTCCCGTATGCCCCCGCTCCACTACCCAACCCCCAGGGTTGTAGGCCATCTTTTTTTTTTTTCAATTGATTTTGAGAGAGAAAGAAGGAGAGGGAGAGGGAGAGAGAGTCGTTCCACTTATTTATGCACTCATTGGTTGATTCTGGTATGTGCCCTGATGATAGAACCTGAAACCTGGGCATATCGGGAGGACTCCCCAACCAGCTGACCTACCCACCCAGTGCCAGGCCACCACTCAGTCATTCTAAAAAGTTACAACTAGATTGAGACAAATCTGTACTCTGTTTCTTAGTGTCCCGTTGCAGCAAAAATATTTCTGCTTGTCGCTACAGTTCCTGACACAGAATACCTCTGGGGCCCTGGCTGGTATAGCTCAATGGATTGAGCATGGGCTGTAAACTAAAGGGCCGACAGTTTGATTCCCAGTCAGAGCATATGCCTGGGTTGTGGGCCAGGTCCCCGGTAGGGGGTGTGCAGGAGGCAACCACACATTGGTGTTTCTCTCCCTCTCTTTCTTCTTCTCTTCTCCTCTCTCTAAAAATAAATAAATAAAATATTTGAAAAAATTAAAAAAGAATACCTCTGGGGATATTCCCAGCCACTGCCCTGTGCTGGCCACCACACCTTTTCTGGTCTGGGGGATTCCCACTGAGGGTCCAGTAAATGTCTTTATATTACTCGTTCATGTGACAAACATTTGTTGAGTTGCCTGGGTGCTGGGATACAGGCCCTGCCCAGGAGGAGACAAGTAACCAACATCTGTATGCTCTGGGATGAATGGGCCAGAAAGAGGAGCAGAAGGGGAGGGGAGGGCCACTGATTGATCCAGTTGGCCTGGGTGGTTGGGAAAGGCCTCACTCACAGGTGATTCAGAGGGAGGGCAGAAGGGTGAGTGGGAGGGAACAGCCAGTGCCAGGACCTGGCAGGATGCTTGGCACAATCTGAACACAGCAAGGCAGTGGTGCGGCCCTGGGCAGTGCCGGGTGAAGGCAGAGAAGTGGGGGTACACTGACTGCCAAGCGAGCTGGGGCTTTTAGTCGGAGAGGTAGAGAGACGTCTGTGCATTATCCGCCAAGGAGGAACACACTCTGACTTGCATTTTCAAACGGATCCCTCTGCTTATTCACGGGGAAGAGACGGTGGGGGACATGGCTGAAAGCCAGGGGACTATGCCTGAAGAAGCTCTTCTGCCCATTCTACAGACATTCATGGGATCCTGCCTCCCCCATCAGCCCCAAGTCAGCTCCCCCAGGGAGTCCTGTGGGACTCCAATTGGAGGCCAGCCCTTCCCGGCTGTTAGGCCAGGTCCTCTGGTTGAAAGGTGGTGACAGGACTTATGAGCAGGATGGGCTGTGTGCAAACAATGCACCCTCAACACAGGGAAACTTCTGTGCTGAGCCTCTCACAGCCTTGTGGTCACCCAACCTCATGAAGCACACAGAGTGGCCCCATATACAGAGAAGGAGACCAGAGTGCAGTTGGTGCTGTTAAGCTGCCTGCCCGAGCCCAAAGACACAAAGCTCTAACTTGAACTGAGCCTTGCTTGTCCAAGAGACCAAGCTTCTGCCCCACATCCAACAGGCTCCTAGCCCTCCCAGATGCCTGGTGGGCATCTCTGGCCTTTTCTGAGCACATCAACCAACAAATGAAGGCAGAAAACTCAGACCCAGAGCCAGTGCTGTTCTGCACCCTGTCACTTCCAGGCCACTGCCCACACTGACCCTTCTACTTGGCACCTTCTTCCTCTTTTGCATGGTTCACTCTCACTCATCTCTCAGGTCATCAGCCCTTCCACAAAGGCTTCCCTGACAGGACCAGACGCCCCCATCCTGGTCCTGTGTTCGCTGCACCTGTGCCTGTGCCCAGTACCTGACACGGCCCAGCCCACACCAAGACAGCTCTTCCCTTCAAGGGATGTTCCACTCCTGGGGAGTGGGCCAGAGGGAAACACGCCAGGTGGAGGAGGCAGCTGCACAATCCGAGGGTTCACCCTGACCGTGGTCTTCCAGCAAAGGAGACCAGCCACAGCTGAACTGGGCACATTTCAGGTGACAGAGGTGTGCTCACCACCAGGACATCAGGTCATTGCCAGGAGTTTATAGCAATGTGGAAAAACCCTTCCAAAAACTGAAAAGTGTGAGAAATAAATAAAACCGCCCTCCATGCCTTCTCAGCTGCTGTGTGAGCATGTGGATAAGGCCTAGAGAGAAGTGTAGGGAAGGAAAAGTGTCTGGCAGGGTGGCAGCCAGGACAGATGTGTTTCTTTCGAGTCTGTGTCTCGTCAATCAAAGCAAGAGGGAAATTTCTGTGTCCTGAGCAAGCACTCCCCACTAGATGCCGTGCTGAGGGCTTTGAGTGCAGGGAACCCCACAGACCGGGAAAATGGAGCTGAGTGCTTAGCTGGCATTTGCAAAGAGAACAGCAAAGCTGCAGAAGCCCAGTCCAAACCACCATGTTTCTCCCTCCCCGGTCTAAACACCCTGATGCTCAGACTCACCCATTGTCTCCACCAAATACATAGATGGCATCTTTATAGGCCACCACTGTGTGCTTGCTGCGCCTAGAAAGGAAGGAGAGGTGGGGAGCGGTGAGGCCAGGACCCTCCTGGGGGCACCTGGGGAATGAGACCAAGCATCCAGGATGCCACAGAAGTTGGATAACACCTCTCAACTACTAAGATGAACAGAAACCTGTAAATTCCACCAGTACATCAAAACACCCTGCATCTGGGGAACTCTCTAGAATCCTCATTCCACTGCAGAGCACCTGGGACCCTGGCTGGAAACTCATAAACAAAACAGAACTCTAGTGCCCTGCCCCTGGCTACCCTGGCCCTGACCACATGCCCCCCCCCCCCCCCGCCACACCGCCCCTCTCAAAACCCCTGCCACAGAGCAGGGGAGGTAAAAGAGGGTAAAAGGGGGACAAATGGTGATGGAAGGAGACTTGTAGTGAACACACAATACATTATATAGATGATGTATTACAGAATCGTACACCTGTAACCTACATAACTTTATTAAACAATATTACCCCCCAGTAAATTAAAAAAGAAAAACCCACGAAACTGCCCTGGCCATCGTCCTGGACACCACCACTCCTCTCTCGACGACCATATACCGTCCTGGCCTTGCCCCCGGAACCCGCCATGAAACCCTCTCAGACACCCGCATCCCCAAACTCCCTGAACCACGCCATACCGAGCCCCCACGAACTCGTCGCAGGGCGGGAGGCGCCGCCAGCGGTGCACCGTCTCGAAGGGCCCAAAGTTGAGCGTCAGGTACTCGACACTGTCCGAGCAGCTGTGGTCGAAGTCCACGCTCGGGGCTACCTTGGACCGCGCGCCGCTCGCCAGCGCCCCAGCCACGATCGGGCCCCCAGAGCCGCCCGTCCCAGCCATCCTGGGTCCAGGTCTGAGCGGTCACTGTGCTTGCAAGACGTGCGGCCACCGCCCCGGGTCGCCCAGTGGGACTGCATTTCCCGGCGAGCTCCGGGCCCAGGGCGCGGACTTCCGGCTCGCTCGGAGGTCCCGACAGGCCTAGCGCTCCCCTCGGCTCTGCGGCCGGCGCGGCACCTGTGACGGAGACTGCGGCCAGTGTCTAACCTCCTGGGAACCATTTCCTGCGCAGTGCCAGCGCCGGCTCCCAGCCCCGTCCCACTGCACTTCCCCGGTGCCTGCCCGGAGATCGGCTACCGTTCCCGGCATGCCGTGTCTAAGCGGGGCTTGGTCGTGATCGTCCTCCGCTCCCGGGATCCCGGGTGGAGGGTTCCGAGCTCGCAGCGGCCTCCGCAGGCAGCCCATCCCCTTCCGGCTCAGGCTCCCAGCCCGAAGCCCCGAAGTCTGCCCTCGGTATTCTTATTTATTGAGAGGCAACGTGGCTCAGAGGTTCTGTATTCTCATTCCTACTTAATAGCAGAGACTCAGTTTCTTCACCTGCAATATGTGGATTCGGGAAGCTCTGGCTGCCTTGAGAAGCATGCAGGCTGTTCAGGACCCAGCTCCTACAGCTGTAAGCGGGCAAATGCCTCCAAACTGCCAGACTTGTGCAGCCTCTGAGCTCTGAAGAAGCGTGTCCTGTCTCGAACCCTTTGCACCTGCATTCTCCTCTACCTAGAATGCCCTTCCTTCAAAATCCAGATTCCAGACTGGTTGAAGCCCTTCTTAAACCTCCGGGGGTAGAATCAGTTGCTCCCTCCTCTGGGCACTCGGTGTAGCACTGAGCAGTCTGTGGCTGTGCCTGTCTCCCTGTCACCTACAGTCGCCCTCATGAGTGCCCAGTTATAATGGAAGTCACACAGATCTGCAAATGTGCATGTTTTAATTTTGAGATAATATCTAGTATGTTGCAAGGTCCTACAGGGGACCAGTCCCAATAGAGGGAGAAGAGGCTGGGCCTGTCCTGCCTCTACTGCCAGCCGTCGACAGCAGTCCAGGCCTTGGGTGGCAAGCATCACTTGGAAGCAGTGGAGGTGTCTCTGGAGGTGAGACAGGCAGCTGATGGCAAGCACTGGGAGGGCTCAGGTTCTGCCCTGGGGGATCCTGGGAAATTGGAGGTTGGCACCTGCCCCCAGGGCTTGGTCTTTGTCCCTGGTGCCCCAGCATGCCTGCCCAAGTCTGCTGCATGCAAGCTCAGGATCCTTTCCCTGTGAGCCAGGACATGTCGCCAGTCCTGCAGGAATGAAGGGAGGAAGAATCAGAGTGGAAGAGACCAGGCTCCCCACTCAGCACCATGAGCAGCTGGCCCTTGAGGATAGCAGGGCCTGCTCTGTGCCAGGCCCTGGTGCCCAGCAGGGATGTGTACTTGGGCAGAGGGGCAAAAAACCATCAGGTGCAGACTCTGGGTTGAGGCGGGAAAGGCTCAGAATAGTCAACAGGAAGGACAGGACACACGTACTTGCTGTGCAGCAGAAACAGCCTTTGCGAGGGCAAGAGGGAGAGACAGAGAAGGCCAGGGAAGAGCATGTCATTTATGTCCCCTTTTGGTTCTCCACTGTTTCTAGCCTGAAGCCTACCCCCATCCCGTGGCCTCTAGGCTTTTCTCAGTCCCTGGGGGATTTTGTAAGCCCACAGGGGCACTCCCATTGACACCGTGGTGGTATGAGGGTTATGACTGGTGTCCAGTGTCTCCCAGACCCCAGCCACCCCACATCTCTCTGCAGCCCTGCACTTCCCCAACTGGTTTCTGCCAAGCTCAACACTACCATGTCCAGTCAGATGTCTCAGGGCCAGTGATTGCCCAAGCAGTGCGCCTTGACCCCTCCCCACAGTACTGGCCCTGCCTGGGGACATGGCCCCTTTTCCTTCAGTCTCTCAAGAGTATATATAACCAGCCCACTCCTAAATCACAACCTGTGTCCCGCATGGCCCCATAGCCCTGGGAGCCTCAGACTGAGGGGGACCAAAAGTCGGGGGACTGGCCCTGGAGGGCTGTGAGGCAGCTGACTGCCTTGGAAACATGGAGCCAGTCCTTGGGTAGGTTTCTAGCCCCCTGCCCCAGGCCTCCGATGCCCACACTCACTCCACTTCCCGCTTCCGGATGGCACGGCCAGAGGCCAGCACCTCGGCCACCTTGGACACGATAGGATCATAGTTCATGCTAGCCACAGCGATCACTTCGTCGCCTCTGCAGGGAGAGGGTGGCTGAGCTCAGTGACTGCCCAGCAGTGGCCCCTCTTCTTGGACACCCTGACATGCTCCTGTCCACCTGGGACCCAGGAGGTGAATCTTACCCAGAACAACAGCAATGTCCTGAGCACCCAACCCTCCCTGACTTGCACTTTAGCCCAGAATGGGCTTTGGGCTCCTGTGGGACCCCCATGGAGGTTCCAGCCATACTCTTCAGTGGGGTTCAGGCTTCTGTCCTGGGATTACCAGTCTTTTATCTGTGTGACTGTCCTCAGTGTAAATGTGGGTGTCAACACCCCCCTTGAAGAGCTGTGCTGACGATAAAATGCCCTGCCTCGATGTGTGGCAGCTGGAGGAGTTACTGCCCTATCTCCTCGCCTTTCCTCAGCAGTTCCTGCCTAGCTCTTCCCAGTGCCACTCAATCCACCTTTCAGGTAAGAACCACTGGTCTGGAGGAAGGCTTCTCTGGGATGAGCTCCCCCTCCGGACTGAGCTCCTGCTGTTTCGTGCCCCTGCTCCGCCCCGTTGCTCTCACTTGGTGTAAAAAGCCACGAACTTCAGCTCCTCCAGATCCCCTTGGATGATGACATCGTCGAAGCCTTCTCCGTACCCTGTGGGCCAGGCAGGTGGGCAGCGCCCACGTGAGCTCAGTAAAACAGATGGGACTCCACCAGGTCAGTGTCCTGTGCCCTCCTGTCCCCTGTATCCCTCTCCAGGCCTAGCTATTTGTCCTTTTAGGTAGTTGCTGGCCCTGCCCCCAGGTGAGTGCTTTACAGTGTTCTGTAGCTGTCGCGGCCCCGCCTTAGGATGCTCATAGCCCCGCCCCAACTCCAAGCCCCACCCCTGCACTCTGGTAACACCTTAGCCCTGCCCCATTCCAAGGTTCAGTTACCCGCATAGCGCAGGCTTTTGCCGAACATGGCTGTCCATAGGTAGGGCACGGTGCTGATCTCTGCCTCCTGCGCCAGCATGTTCTGGGCCGCCACACGCCCTGCGGGACCCAGAAGAATGAAAGCTCCGATCCAGGCCCCCACCATCCCTATACTGCCTGCCTCTGGCTCTCTGGGACCCCTCACAAGTGGGGTTACTTCTTGCCTCCCCAGAGGTTGAGGTATATCACTGTACAGCCCACCACCCAAGCTTGGTTGCAGCTGGTCGGTACAGAGGGGGACATCTAGCTCAAAGCTGGCCACTTAGATTGCTTCTCTGAAGAATTTGAATGAAGTGCCCTGGATCTGGAAGGTGGGCTCCCTGGGGATGTGGGGCTGCCAGGCCGTCTCATGTGAGCACACGGACCACTATTCAGACTCATCGGGTCCAAAGAGGGAGTAGGAGAGCGGGCATAAAAAGCCTGGAAGCAGAGATGCCAGACACACTCTGGCCCCAGAGAGAATAGCATGGGTAGCTTCCTAGTTCATGAAGCTCCACCCCCATGCTCCCATTAAACCTTAATTGCACTGACGCATAGCCTCTGCTCCTTAAAACCTAGCACCAACCTTGGATCCGAACAGAAATTGGTACAGGAGTGGGGTTTCAGGCAGCAGAGGCTCAGATAACATGCAGGCAGAGGGGAGGGGCAGTGGGTGAAGGGAGTCTGGGGTCCTCCCTCTAAGGCAGCGGACTTGCTGGCACCTGCAGCTCAGGGCCCCAGACGGGGTGTGAATAGTGGGCACATCTTCAGAGGCTTGGTGGGGGGGAGATCTGTTCCTCAGAGAGCACTGCAGTTCCCCACTGAGCCCCAGGTCTCCAGGCCCAGATGGCCTCCTCCCAGGGGTCTGCATGAAGCATCTGGGTTCTGAGTCAATCGAGTGGCCCAAGGGAGACAGAGGCACTGAGTGGGGAGCTGGCCCATGTCCCACTAAATCCCCTTTTCTTTCCTTGGTGAACTTGTGTCTTTGAGTACAAAAGGAAAGGCGGAGCTATTGGAAGGACAAGTAGGGGTGGGGCACTGTAGCTGGCAGAATGGGACGTCCACAGGCCAGAGGAGGGAGGTCTCTGGAGATGGGGCACACATAAGGCTTGCGCTGTGACCTGGCTTGGTGATCACCTGGATGGGGCTGACCCAGACAGGCCACCACAGAGCTTTGAATGGCCCTGCAACCAGCAACCAGGACCCAAGGACAGCAACTGAGGGCCAGGCCACAGGAGGGGGAGGCTGAGACCCCGAGACAGCCTCCCCGCCCTTATCCTGCCACAGAGCTGGCCATACCCTGGGCATGAGCCATCTGCCAGTGCGGGATGTTCACTTTCCGATTGTTCCTCCAGGCCAAGGGGAAGGTGACTGCGCCGCCAGCCGCAAACACACCTGGGACGTTGGTCTGCATCATCTGTAGGGAGAAGGTCCAGAACTCTGTGGGTGGGAAGGGAGCCCTGGCCTGGACCTCCCACCGCCCCCAACGAGGTACCCTTCCCACCCTACCAAGCCCCACCTTGTTGACAGGGATGAAGCCTCGGGAATCCAGGCTGATGCCACTCTGCCTCAGGAAGCCCGTGGAGGGCACCGCACCTGGCAGGATGGTGCCACTGTGTCCACTTCTCTCACCTCATTGCTCTGCGCGTGACCCACACCCTCCACGTGCCACAACCCAGCCCCAGACTGACCACCCAATGGGCCGCATACCCTGCAGCCCGTGTGTGTCCTGCCTGGACCCCCACGTACCCGTGTCTCCCATTAGGCATCATGTATTGTCACCTCTAAGAAGTGGTCCAGGATGCCCCCTGGTGGGGGTGGGCATACCGTGCCACCCCAGCCCCTGTGCTACCATCTCCTAGCTTTGTTCCTCCCCAAACGGACAGCTCTTCTGGATCAGGGACCAGGTAGAAGCATGTTTGTGTCCTGCAGCCCACACAGGGCAGGCCACAGAGTCAAGTGCGAGTGGGCAGTGCTCCCTGGGAGCGTCGTCCGTGCCAGGCCTGGGCCAAGCCCAGTACACGCATAATTCCCCAACAGCCCTTTGAGGTGGGCATGGTCCTGGTCCCCATCAGATAGATGGGAAAACTGAGGCTCAGGGACTGGCCTCAGGCTGCGCTCCATCACACCCGCCTACTTGCCCACTTACCAATGCCCACCACACAGACGTCGGCCCGCACCACCTTGCTGCTCTTCAGCACGACCTCCTTCAGCTGTGGGGAGGATGCAGGGGAGCAGTGGGGCCCAGCTCCCGGGCACAGGGGAGAGGGCAGGGGGTGGGGAGAAGGGCCCACCTTTCCATCCTGTGCCCGCAGCTCTGACACCTCTGTCTGCATGTAGAACTTGACTCGGTTGTTCTCAAACATCTGTCAGGGTAGGTGGGCGGTGGGCAGCGGGTAAGAGCCTGGCCGGGACCGGTCTGGTTCTGAGGGGCTGGGGACTGGTGTGGACTCACCTTCATGAGGGCACGACCCACACGCTCCCCCAGGAACCTCCTGAAGGGCGTCTCCTCCAGTTCCACCACGGACACCGAGTGGGCCTTCTCAGTCAGGTAGGCAGCCACCTCCATCCCTGGGCCAGGGTTGTGGGCAGCAGGCTGGCACCCTGTGCCTCCTAGAGCCAGTACTGCCTTGGGATTGGCCACCTCCGCCCCGCTACCCACAGCTGCTCACCCAGGAAGCCGGCTCCCACAACCACTGTGTTGCGGCCCCGAGCCAGCCTCACCACGCGGTTGGCATCCTCAGGCGTCCGGATGGTGAACACGTTCTCCACCTCTTTGCCTTTGCAGCTCAGGGTCTTAGGGCTGCGACACGGCCAGCATCAGTGAGGGGGTCCTGGCACCCTCAGCCCTCCCATCCTGGCCAGTGGCCTGCCCAGTGCCCAACAGAGGGCAGTGGGAGAGACTCTCCCACCTGCTCCCTGGTGCCAGCAGAAGCTTGCTGTACTCCAGCTTGAAGCCATCCTTGAACACGACCTTCTTGTTTCTCACATCCACTGTGACCACCTGCAACCCCCCCAGGCAGAGCGTGGACCTGGGCCTGGCCGCCCACGTCCAGGTCCCGCAGTATGCCCAGAGCCCTGCCGGCCCATCTAAGCAGCTCCACGGGGCTTCTCCTGACACAGGGCTTGTCCTTCCTCTCTCACCTGGCAATTCCTCTGCCTTCGTTAAGCTTCTCACATCATCTTTTCCTCAAAGCCCTCCTTATACCCCGCTAAGTCCCACCAGGTTCTCCCAGCCCAGCCCGAACAAACCATCTGTGTCCCCACACACTTGGGCTATGCATGTGCCCATGACCCTACCAAGAAGATCCACTGCAGCCTCCCAGGCCAGAAGCATCCCCAGGTGCCTGGGCAGCAAGGCCAGGAGGGCAGAGCACACCCACATCTTCAGGATGTGTCCTCACGCCTTTCATGGTTCCCCAGCCTTGTCCTCTACCTGGGCCTCGGTGAGCACCTCGATGCCATAGGCTCGGAAGAACTCCTTGGGCCTCAGGGCCAGCTGCTCGGGCTGGGCGTCCAGGGACTGTGGGAAGAGCCAGCTTGAGACGGAGCCGTGCAACAGAGGACCTGGAGCCCAGGGAGGGTGGAGCCAGCCCCAGGTCACACAGGGGCTGCAGGATAGAACTCAACAAGCCCAGGTCTTCAAACTCCAGGCCCTGGCATGAGCAGAGCAGGCAGCTGGCCAGACCCCCAATGGGCAGCAGTTTGACTGCTCCCAGAGGGACAGAGCCCTGTCTCCTATCACCCCACCCCCACCTTGCTGAGCTTGGGCCGGTCGTAGGGGAGGTGCCGGTCCAGTGTGCACAGGACGATCCTATCTGAGAAGCCCTCTTGACGCAGAGTCTCTGCACACACCAAGCCAGCTGCACCTGAGGGGAGGGGAGCTGTGGGTCAAGGACCACCTCTCCCCCACCCCATCCTGCCTCTCATTACCCCACCACAAACCTGCGCCCACAATGAGCACGTTGGTGCTGCCGCTGTGACCAGCACTTGGAGAGATGCACTTGGCCATCACCTTGGTCCTTCGCTGCAGCTGCAAGGCCTAGTAGTCGCCAGAGAGTGGGGGACAGCTGGGAGCTGGGGTCATGGCCAACATCCTTATGCCATAAGTCCAGCAGTCCAGCCTCGTCCCCACCATACACCGTTCACTCTGCTCCCCAGCCACCCTCACCAGAACCCCTCCCATCATAGAACTTTGCATTTGCTGTTCCCTTGGCTTTCCCTTTTACCTGAGCCCCAAGCCACCCCCTTACCTGCTTGCTGGCCCGGACATACACCTTCTCCTTCTCAATCTTCACCTGCAAGTGCTATGGTACTCAGAACCAGGCTTTGGGGGCTCCAGTCCCTGACCATGTAGCCCCAGGCTCCCAGTCTACCACACACCTAGCCCCACCTGGAACTTGTGTAGACTGTCCAGACCGGGGAAGTCTTCCAGGTCCCCGGTGCTGATGTTGAAGCAGGCACCATGCCAAGGACAGCGCACCCGGCCACGGGACAGTACACCTAAGGTGGGGCAGTGCTGAGCTGGTGTCACCTGCAAGAGTCCCTCTCCAAGAATTCCTGTGTCCCAGCCCCGCTGACCCTCCCACATAGTCCCGGAGACCCTCCTTGCCAATAGATGAGGAACTGGGGGTCCGGGGAGGAGCCAAGCTAGGCTGGGGCCTGGAAGAGCTGAGGCTTGAAGGTGCAGCGGCCAAGCCCACTTCAGCAGGCCACACCCACACCTCCCCTGTGCACGAGGACAACTCACCTTTCACCAGGGGTGCGCCATAGTGTGGACACTTGTGGCCCAGGGCATGGAACTCCCCATTGTCCTTCACCAGCAACACTTTGCCCCAGCCCAGCTCCACTTCCCGCATCCTGGGGAAGAGCTGCACTCAGAAGTCAGGCCAGATGCGAGGCACCACCTCCTGCCAGCGCCTCCTCCCAGATTCCAGCCTTCTGGGGAGCAGGCCCCGACCAGCAGAAGCCACAAAGGCTGTGGCCAGGATGGCTACCCCTGGGCCCCTGCCAGGCCTCCTGCCCACCTTATCTGTGGTTGATGCTTGCCCTCCCACCTTGGGCTCCCTGACCCCTGTACCAGGCCCAACACCCACTGGCCATTCTCGAGGTCCTTGACATGACAGACGGCAGCCTCCACACAGTCCTGAGGGCCAGAGTAGGGGTGAGGGGCGGGCAGGCGCTCCTCCGAGTGGAAGTGGCGGGCAGTGCCATTGCCCTGGTAGGCTCGGGGGCTGCTCTTCCCGCTGGCCGACAGCTCCTCCTTGCCCCGCTCCTTCTCCGGCAGCACCACCTCGATCTTGAGCTCCACTGTGGGCAGATGGGGGCCACCGTGAGCCCCTCGCCCACCCACCTCCTCACTCACCCCAAAGTTCTGGGCAAGGTCTGCTCTTCTAAGTGCAGCTTCTCCTCTGCACCCGGACCTTTCCAGAAAGCCACCGGCACCAGCAGCAGAGAGCTTTAAAGCAAACAAGAAGCAGGGCAGGGGCAGCAGGGACGGGCACCGGGTGGGCTCGCACTGATTTCTGCATGATTTTATTTCAATAACAAAATTAGTGAGGGGAGCACAAATGAAGATCCTTCAACCCTGAAACGGCCCTTCCTCCAGGAATGTGTGTGGGAAAAGAGCCCTGGTGCCCTGAGTTTTTATCGGACTCCAGGGCATGGTCCCAGTGGAAAACAATGACACCCCTGAGGGCTCAGGGGCATGTTTAGGTTCTGACTCAAGTGAGAACAGGGCATCCCAAACAGGTGTAGCTCAGACCCTGGCCAGTGAATCTGGGTGGTGGGAAATCGCAGGTTCATTGTTTTATGCTTGCAACTGTCCCATAGGTTTAAACTTTTTCTCAAAGTTAAAAAAAAAAAAAGCCCTGGCCAGATAGCTCAGTTGGTTAGAGCACCACCCCAACGCACCAAGGTGGCAGTTTCGATCCCGAGTCATGGCACACACAAGAATCAACCAACGGATGAATAAATAGATGAACAACAAATAAATGTTTCTTTCTCTCCTTCCCTCTCTCTTTTCTAAAATCAACAGAAAAAAATTTTTAAGTATATACAACTTAATTTCAACTTCTTAAAATAGCTATTCTCACCAGTTTGAGAATTTACCAAGCATTTACCAAGCACTGGCTTTTCAGCATCTTCATGTGCACGAGTCTGGGGGCTTGGGGGTGACCCCACCCGGGGGGTAGTGCATGCGGACAAGGCAGGCAGGGCATAGCACCCCCCCCCCCGCCCACAACCAGCCTCCACCTCCACAGAAGACAGGTTCCCTGCCTGCTCCTGGGGCAGTTCTGGGGGGCGGGGGGAGACTTAGCCAGAGAGTGTCATTTTCTTCTTTATACTTTTCCAAATTCCCCACAATGTGCCTGGGGTATTTTTCATATTAGAAGGGAACAATAAACAGAATTTTCAGCAGCGATAATCCGGCCTCCTGGGTGGGGGCTGCAGGGAGGGAGGCGGAGGGATGGAAACTAAGTCCCTGGCACAGCACGGGCCGGATGAGGGAGCAGAAAGCGCCTCTCGCGGCTCCCAAGGCGCCAGAGGTTCCAGGCATTTCCCAGCTCACCTCTCAAGCCCTCCACCTCAAAGCTGGCACTCCAGGAGCAAAAAACCCAGAGTCACACCTCCTGGCCTTTGCCTCTGCCATCCCCTGGGCCCAGGTTACCATCCCTCCTGGGCCTGGCTAACTCCTGCCCATGAACCTAGACACGGCTCAGGGGTTGCCTCCCCGCACTGCCCAGCTCCCGCATGTCCCTTATCTGATGCTGTGCTAATCCCCTACCCTAGCCTGGGAGCCTGGGGGGGCAGCCCTCCCATCTTCAAGCCCCACCTCAGCTCAGGCCTGGCTCAGCAGGCATGAAGGCCCACTCCATGATTCCAGCTGGGCAGGAGGGGCACCTGAGCACACCACATGCCAAAGCTGTTGTGTCAGGTGCGGGGGGTTATGGATGGAGTGGGTTTTTCCCTTCATTTTCCACACTTTATGTAATAGTGTTAGAATGTTTTCAGAAGAATTAAAAAGAAAAATACTTTGGACTCAGCTGACAGCGGCTATGCGAGCTTTAGAGAAGGAGCTCGAAAGAACAGCCTGGCAGGGGCCCAGATAACAGTCAGGCCAGGCTGTTCGCATCGGTCTACCTCCTTCCAAAAGGCTCCGAGGCCCTGCCAGATGCAATCTAACTGGAAACCATTAAGTCAGGAGCAGTGGTAGGAAGGCAAATGGGGAGGAGGGTCTCTGCTCACTCACAGAACCAAAGCAACCCTAACTCCATGATTCCGGGCAGCCCATGGGACCATGGGCCCTGCCTTAGCCCCTCTGGGCAGATGCCCTTGTTATAGAACGGAGAGAAAAACACCTGCCTCTCTGGTGATGGTGAATGAGGAAGGAGATAATAAATGTAACCCAGAGCAGAAGCTCAACAGATGAAATTGGGGAACAGTGTTTGATGGGTTAGTTCAGAGCTTCCTGGCAGCCACGGTAAGGGAGGAAAGCCTTTAGGTAGCACTTGCGGCCTAATAAAAGGCAGGTGACCAGATACGGAGGTGCACTTCCTCCTAGTTCTGAGCTTAGCAAGAGTCTGGCCTGGAGCATTTCCTATAAGGAATGGGTGCCACTAAAGCACAGGGAGTTGGAGGAAGCCCAGGAAGTGTATGCCGATGTGCTCTGAGCCACAGAGCCAAGCAAGGTAGTAAGTGAGGAATTTATACGAAGATCTTCTACTCGTTCTGGTTTCCCTGTGGTCCCTTCTGACCTCAGCTGAACCCTCATGGTCAAATGCTCTCAGTCCCACACCCTGAAATTCCCTGAGTCTCAACCCCTGGCCTGCCCAGGATCTGTGCCTGGGACCTGAGCTCCTGCCCTCCCACCAAAGCCCCACAGGGGGTCCTGGCTGAAGACAGCCCAGCCCCAAAAGAGGACATAGTAACATTTTGCAAGTGCCACCTATGTGTCTGACCCAGTGCTAAGCACAACAGCCTGCACAGGGGGCACAATTGGTCCCATTTTACAAGTGACAACTCAGAGACTCAGAAGGGTGAAGTCATCTGCTCAGTCACACACCCAGGAAGAAAGGATGGATTTGGACTTCAGAGGCTAAGTCCTTAGCATGCCACTGGTGCGGTCTATACCAGGAGTCCCGGGGCCAGCAGTCCCAGGCAGGCCAGCCCTCCGCGTTCCTTTAAAGGAAACTACAGGTGGCATCTTCTGCCCAGGGCCTCCTGCCAGCTGGGGCCAGCCAGTATCCTCCTGCCTGGTGCTGATGGGGGAAGGCTGAGGTCAAGGAAGTGGACATCGTTTGCCAGGGTCATACATGGAGGGGGGGAGGGTGGTGGGAACTGGCCCTGGGCTGAGTGCCCGGAGCACAGTGATGGGAGGGCAGGTGTGGGCGAGTCAGTCCCTCTGCCTGGCAGGGCATCACGCATCTCCTTTTGCCCCCAAGTTTTCCCTCAGACCCAAGAAAAGGAGAAAAGGCTCAGGCGTTCTAAGGTAATGGAGCCGATGGGTATCAGGTAAGGGGAGCTGGGGCGAGCCAAACTGGGCAGGGTGGGCGGGACACTGACTGGGCACTAGGGAGGCCTCTTTCTTGGCCTCCTTAGTTTCTTCCTCTGTGACATGGCTGCATACCTTGCTTTCCTGGGTGTTGTGAGGACGGAAGAGGGACAGTGGGGCTGGAGGGAGAACTCGGAAGAGAAGTGTTCAGCCCAGAACAAACCCAGGCCACCCCGGGGCCCTAGGACAGCCGACCCTGATCGGAACTTCTTAGGCCAAGCAGGGGGGCATTTTCTGTACAAATGGAAAAGCGTGGCCGGAGAGGCTGAGTAGGTGGCCCAAGGTCACACAGGGGTCGGAAGAGGTGAACAGGGCTGGGATCTGTCCAATCCATTCTCACAGAAAGTTAGAAAGATCAGGCTCACTTTGTAGAGAGGGACAGTGAGGCGCAGAGAGGTAACTTATGAATCTTGGGTCACAGAGGGGCTAAGGATGTCTGTCCCCACAGCCTCCCTTCTCCGTGCTGGGTGACACAGCTGCCCTTCCCCACCCTGTGCCAGGAGGAACCCTCCCTTCCCCTTTCCAAGATTCAGCTGCTATTCGCACCACCAGCACCCAAAGCCCCAAATGCAGAGGAAGGGTCACTGGAGGGGGGCCAGGCCCCCAACCCCTTCCTGCCTGCAGCACATTAACATTCGCAGCAGCGGTAGAAGCAGGCAGCGGAGGCTGCCACCCAGCCTGACCTACTTCGGAGGCAGTGGGGGAGGGGGAGGGGGAAGGTGGCAGAAGGAGGGAGGAGGGTGGAGAATGGAGGGAGGGGGGAAGCAAAAAGAGAGGAGCTACCTGGCTTGGGCTTGGAGAAACAGCCTCCCATGGCGAGTGGCCTCAGCTGGGCAGGAGGCGGGCACACAGATGGCTGGACGTGGGAGGCTAGGATGCCCCTGGTGGGGCTGGACCCCCCAAGACCCTTAGAAATGCTGGTATGGCCATCCCAGCAGGAGCTGCCTTCAGAACCTGTGGGGGTGGGGGAACGGGGGCATCAACGGGATCAGCGCTTAGAGATAAAACCGGTGTGGCAGGGGGCTTTCTGGAATAGGCCCCCACTGGAGCTAGGAACCGTTGCATAAAAAGGAGCCAGACCCCAGAGGAACAACAGGACCCTGGGAGCACCTCCCCTCCAGGCTCAGCACCCTCACTCCTCACTCCCACCTTTGCCCAGGCTCTACCCACCACCAGGGGAGTCCCTTCGCCAGACTTTCAGGTCCAGCCCCACAACTGCCTTATCCAGGAAATCTGACCTGATTTCTGCTGCCCCTTCAAAATGCTGTAGCCTGGGAGCCCTGGGACCTTCCTTTCTCCTCGAAGGCCACCACAGCTGGGGTCAAACCCCAGATCCCCTTGGGCAGATCGGAGCCTTCCTGTCCCCCGGTTTCTCCTTCCTATAATGGGACGACATTTAGTTCTCTCTGGCCCCTGCACCCACCCTGGCTGCCAGCCCCTGGATACCCACCTCCTTCAAGGGCAGCCACTGCTTCTTACTCCCAGCCCAACAGGAGACCCAGCCTGCCGGGCCCTGGAAGGCAGGGCAAGGGGGCGGGGGTCCAGGCGGCAGCCCAGCCTCCACCCCTCCTCCCAGTGTGAGCTGCCGCCAGGAGGGCTGGGGGGTGGGGCTGGGCCAGTCCACTTGTCCCCAGGGAAACCCCAGCTCCATGGTGAACAGAAGTGGGCAGCAAGCCCAAGCCTGGGCCTGATCAGGTCGGGGGAAAGGGAGGCTAGGCACACAGTCCTGCCACAGGCCATGCCCAGCAACCATGAGCTCCCCCTGACCTTCACTCTTCACAAATGCCCACCAGGCCCATGGTGCTGAGGTCATGCCCAACAGCAGATAGAAAAACCGAGGAGCCAAGGATTTACCAAGGTCAAGCAGTAGGTAAGGGCATCTTGGTGACCTCCCACCCCCTTCCCACCTTAGTTCCAAGAGGAGCAGGAACGGAAGAAGCCCACATACCTCTCTGCGGGAGGGCCCACCAAGTCAACAAAGAGATCCCTGCGGCCAAGGAGGCCTCAAGGCCACAGGATGGGCTATCTAGAAGGTGCAGCTTACAGAGTGGACTTTGGAAGACCCAGGATGAAAGTTCAGCTGCTGTGTTTACAAGTGACCTCCTCACAGTCTACCCACAGTCACCCCATTTGTTTCCCCCGGAAGTTCTTCCTGAAGTCTAACTTGAGGTGAGGCTGAGGCTCACTAGGTCTAGTCCAGATCCCAGCAAGGACCCTGGATGGGTGCCTGAGGGCAAAGGGGTCAAGAAGATAGGAGAAAAAGGTTGGGGAAGGACCACCTATTTCCTGGCACTTGATCTTCCCTGCCCTATTGGTGCCCATTACAGGCCACAGGCCATGGCACCCAAAGGCCCCCTGGGCACACCCATGTTCTCTTCCCTACTGTCACCAAGGCAAGTTTGCAAAATGTGGCCACCATCTGCACTGCCTGCACCCTCCCTGGGCACAAGGGGGCCCTTCCCCAGATCCTGGCTGCACCACTAGGTTAGCCCTGCCTACCTCCTTCCAGCCTGAACCTCAGATCCCCCAAAAGGTGGGACCTCAACTTGCCACCAAGTGTCTGTTTAGGCTGTTCCCTTCCATTCCAGGTGTCCAGGTGTTTAGACCCTTCAGAGCCGTGGGCCTGGAGACAAATTTGCTGGGGACTGAAGCTTCTCCAGGCCTACTGTGTGCTAAGCCAGCTGGGCGCCCTCCTGTCTCCTGCAGGCCCAGACACCTCCCCTCAAAGGCAGAAGTCTTTGTCAGAGGCACGACAGGAGAGGACCCCAACTTTTTGCAGTGTGCTGTCCTTTGCCTACAAGCTGCCCAATGCCAAAAAACTGTAACTGTGCCTGAGTGCTAACTACCCACTAGGAGCCAGTGTCCCGTCCCAGACCCTCCTCCCAGGGACCCAGCTGGTGCGTGCCGGGAGGAGCCTCTCCTCACTCCCTCTTTCCTCCAGGTCCCACTCTTCACCAAGGGTCACGTGGGTCCTTCCATACCCACCCTGGCAGGCTCCTGCCCACCTCAGGCCCTCGGATGCCTCAGGCTAACTCCGGATGGCATCCAAGCTCCTCAGCCAGGCCTTCGAGTTTGGGGTGCTAGCGGTCCTCACCTCCTCCCTCACGGAGCTCAAGCGCAAACCTTCTGTGCACTCTCCCTGCCTGTGCACGTGCAGTTCCTTTATCTGAGATGTCCTTTCAAGCAGCCCTTACTTCGCCCAGGTCCCCCCACCACACCGGGTGGCCCAGGAAGGGAGAATGCCACACAGTAGGTCTGTGTCTGTGTGGCGAGCGGGGTAGGGCCAGCGGGAGAAAGGAGAAGGAAGACGGGCGCTCTCATCCCAGCTTGTTCCACCTCCCCCCACCACCCCGCACAACCGGCTGCTGGCCCCCATCTCCCAGAGCGCTGGCCCCAGGTCCCAGACCCGAGAGAGCGCACACTAGCCCGGGTACGGAGGCTCCGGGCAGGAACCTGGGGGCAGAGGCGGGGTCGTGCTGTTTAGACCGGGGTCCCGGGAGCAGGAGATGGGCGCTCACCTAGGCTAGGCGCGGGCGTCAGCTCAGGAGCCGCTCGGGACCGCAGCGAGGGGGGCGGGAGGGGAGGAGGAGGAGGAGCGGGCGGGGGCGGGGCAGGCGCTGCGGCTACACTGCGGCCGCGAAGAGGCGCGCTCGGCCCCGCCCCGCCGGGCAGTACAGGTTGAGAGGTCCCGGGTCAGGGGTCGGCCGTAGGCCTTGGAGTTCGGACGCGGGTGTGAGGAGGCAGCCAGGGGCCCTTCTGGCCATAAACTATTTGGCTGCTTCTGGGACCCTTGGAATCCTCGCGACCCCCAAGAGAAGCCAAACTGGGACACGCACCGAGTCTGATTCTTCCCCTGCCCCACTGTGTTCACACTCAGTAGGCAGCTTGGGGGAAGTTGAATCACCCGAAGAGCCCCTCCAAGAAAGAAAACCCGAATCAACTCCCACCTGCTAGCTCCCCAGGCACCTTCCTTTACTGGCTCTGAGTGTTCGGTCTCCCAGATCTAGCCCCTTCCCTCCCCTCTCCACATACACACACGTGCTACGTTCTATTTTAACTTATATTTTATTTTCTCTTTCCCACCTGTTATTATACCAGAACTTCCTGGCTCCCCATAAACCCTGGTGCACCCTGATGTTGTGACCCTTCCTCCAGGAAGCCCTCCTTAACCAACATCCTCAGATTCCATCAGGATCCGATATGACCCCTGGACCTCAGTGTTTTATTGTCCTGACTGTCCAGATCCTTGTGTTATGGTTTTGTCTCAGCAGCAAACTGGAATTCAGTGACTATGTGGAAAATGAATAAATGGCACATTCCAGGGAAGTGATGTCACAGCTATCACTAAACCTATCAGGGCCCACCAACTCTGTTGTCCTATTATTGCTCCTTTGGTGGCTTGAGTTGGGTCCTCATTTTTTTCTGCCTTGTCCCTTTCTTAGCCTTGCTCTCTCCCTGTAAGGATGACAATAAGACAGCAGTAATGGCCCTTTAATTATGCCACACATCACATAGGGGGGCAAGCACAACACCCCCCTCATTTTACTGATGGGGAAGCTCAAAGGCTGAGTCTCCCCTAGGGGCAGGACCAAAGCCTTCGTGGGTCACACTCACACAAATGGGTGTGGGGTCCAGGCCTGGCGAGGGACACGCGGCTCTGTTCAGGTTGTTTGTGGCCATGTGTAGTTTTTACAGTTTGATTGTTGCTACTGCCATCACTGGGCAGATGGCATTGCCTGAGCCTGGTGCCCTTGGCCTCCAAACAGCCTGCCCCCATTCTGTACATGTGCTGACTTAGCCCACACCTCACCCCTCTCCCCACCCGCAACCCAAGAAGGCAGTATGCCTCATGGTCATGGCTGTGGTTCACATGCATTTATTACTGTAATCTTCACAACCTCCCGAAGAGCAAGTTTCTCTTTGTATCATTTCCACTTTACAGGTGGGAAAACCGAGGTTCAGAGAGGTTAGAGGCTCCCCAAGGCCAATAGCTGGTGGGTGGCAGAGCTTACAGACTTACAATATGGGAGGGTGGGAGTCGGACGGGAGAGGCCTTCCAGGCCCAGCCAAGGTCTCGGGGCCTCCAGTGCAGAGTTCAAGTCCTGCTCTGTGAACCTTTCAATTAGTGAACCCCTTAGCCTTAGATTTCCCAGGAAACATGGGAGTTACTGCACTGGCCTGGGCTGGGCTGCCTCCAGAACATCGTGATGGGGGCAGGACCAGACCCTCATGTTGTGGGGTGGAGGCTGCTGAGGCCAGTAACCTGGGGAGATGTGCTGACATGGGATGATTGCGGCCCTGACATGGGGGAGCCCATCATGGTGCCCTTTGCCCTGGGAATTGGGCTGGAGGCTCCCTAACTGCCCCATGGTGGGACAGAAATGGCAAAGTCCCCATGGAGCCAAAGTTAGAACTGGAGGTAGGCTAGGAGTGCTGCTTCCTCAGAGGCCCTGGGCTTTCGGGTGGTGCCCATGGAGGCGGGGATCCAAGGACACTCAGTAGGCTTCTTTCTGAGCCTTGGGTAGGTCCTGGTCTAGCTAGTCCCAAAGATGATTCTGACAAGGTAATAGCATCTGTCCCAGCAGCCTTAACAATACCTAATGGGACAACGGCAAAGAGGGAAATCAAGCTCTGGGTTCAGATGTAGTGAGGTGCCCTGAAGGGACTGAGGTCCACCTAGACCAGCAGACACCCCAAAGGCAGGCTGTGGGTTACTGAAGTCTGAGAAGAAGGTGGGTGATTCCTGCCCACACCCCAGCCCTGGAGCACCTCCACCATGCAGCAAGCCTGTCTCTGCCCTCCTTACATCTTCCCCCTCCTGTCAGTTTCCTTATTGCCCACTCCCCTCAGCCTAGGGTCTCCCAGTCCCGTGTGCAGGTTGGTCCTTTTCGTTGAGAGAATGGGAGGTAGCTGCAATGTCTAACATTGGGATTGACAAGGGCGCCCCCTGGAGGCCAATCTGAGGGTGCTCAGGGCCCTCCCTGAGCTCTGGGCTTCTGAGGGAAGGGGTTGAAAGTGGGGGCCTCTTTCGGGCCAACTTAGGTGGATTTCCAGATAGAGAGATACCTCAGTTTGACTAAGAAGCATATCCCCAGGAAATGTTGGGCTGCTGATAAAGCACAGCCAACTGTGCTGAGCTGAGCTGAGCTGAGCTGAGCGGATCTGAGCTGAGGCCAGCTGTGTTGAGGAGCAAGATGGGTGGAAGTGGTAACCAGAGCTGAACAGTGATTGATTCGTACAGAAGCAGAGGTTGAGAGGATCCTCAGGTTGGGTCAAGCCCCAGGTCAAATCCCATCCCCAGCCTCATCCATGACTCCCTAGCTTGCTCTGGCTACTGCAGTCCAGCTTCTCCCCTGCTCAGGTTGGTTTACACAGTCTGACCACCATGTTCCCAGCACCCTCTGGGTTCTCTGAGTTCTCTCTGACTCTGCCAAGCTGAGCTCCAGCTCCCCCAAACCTCTTTAGCCCAGGATGAGCCCTGCCCAAGTTGCTGGCTTGCTGCCAGCATCATCCTGTTCTTAGACTCTGGGGCTTCTGGTCCTCAAGAGGGGAGGGAAAGGTCGGGAGGTCTTTACTAGGAGGTGGCGGGAGCTGAGGACAGATGGGCCAGTTGGAGTTCATCAAAGGAGAGAAGGGCATCCAAGCAGAAGAAATGTGTGGGCAAAGGCCAGGAAATAAGGTGTTGAGTTCTGGGAAATTCGGAGTGTGACAATCCAGTGGCCCGAGTAGTGGGTTCTGGGTAGGGGTGTGGCATTAAGCATGTCATGGGCCAGGGAGGAGTTGGGTAAGGGGTTTTCATCACATGTGTCTTTAGGAATAAAACATACCAGTGACTAGGACTGACACTGGACTAAAAGGGAGAGGGGAGTCCAGGAGGTGAGGAGACATCTGGGGCAAGGAGTGGACCAGAGTCAGGCCAAGGGCTGGAAGGTAGACCCTGCCCCAGTGGTCTTTACTTAGACCTGAGGATTTTCTGTCGTCAAAAGACTGACAACTTTCCCAAACCCCAGTGGCAGAGGGACTAATATAAGCTGCCTTATCCACAGAGTGGAAGAGTGCAATACTGTTTAGTGTTAAACAGGCATCTACAGAAATTCTGTAGAGACAGTATAGGTATTTTCTGACACAGTGCTGGTTGGAAGTGTAGACAGGCAGTCCCTACAGAGGGCAATTAGGCAGCAGCTCTGAGTTGCAAATGCCTGGAGCCCATGACCCAGCAATCCCACTCTGAGGAACTCTTTTTTGAAAGGATCTGACCACCTGAGGTTGGAAAGCACCTGCATGTCTATCAGTAGAGGATTATAAATGAATGACAATGCATCTGTCTCGTGGACTACTGTATGGTGATGAAAAAGAACAAAGATTCAGCCCTGGCTGGTGTAGCTCAGTGGATTGAGCTCGGGCTGCTAACCAAAGGGTTGCAGGTTCAATTCCCAGTCAGGGCACATGCCTGGGTTGCAGGCCAGGTCACCAGTGGGGGCCACACAAGAGGCAACCACACATTGATATTTCTCTCTTTCTCCCTCCCTTCCCCTCTCTAAAAATAAATAAATAAAAAATAAAAATAGGTTAAAAACCCCACAAAGTGTGCTGATTCATAACAACCTCAAAGAGACTGAGGGAATAAAGCACTGTGCAGAAGAGTAAGTAATCTATGATACCTCTGTGCAGAGAAAACATTAAGTATATTTATGGACATATTCTCCTGTATGCTATTGAATAACTCTATTAAGGTATGTACAATAAACTGGAAACACGGGGGGAGTGGGGAGTAGGAAGGACGGGGAGGGAGAACTTTTATCAGATACCCATCTTTTGAATGCTGCATCTCTAGATATTTTCCCTCTAGAGCCAAACTTCTCAAACTCCTTGAACTGTCAGGGTGAGCTCAGGTGGGCTGCAGACCTCCATTCCTGGAGGGCTGGCATTGGAGCTTGGGTCCTCTCCTTTGGTAACTGGCCTGGCACAACCCTGCCTGGGTCCCTTCTGCTCTTGGCGCCTGCCCTCACCTGCCCTCTGTGCAGTGGGCAGACCATCTACTCCCTGCACCTCAGATTTGGCTGCTGGGCAGCTCTGAGTGCCCACTCAGAGGGCTTCCCCTTCTCTGACCCTCTTAGCCTTTACAGTGGGTTCTACAGGGCTGTCTTGGGTGCATGGGTGTGGGCTGTTCTCCATAGGCAGCTGCCTAGCCATCTACTCTAGACCCTTCCTCCACTGGTGCCTGTCCCCACTTTAGTGACCACAGGAGTCTAAAATGTACCTTAGGTTCCTTAGGGCCAAAAGCCAAGGGAAGGGTGGGAGGGAGAAGGTAGTGCTGATGACCCCGCCTCCCACTCTCACCAGCCCTCTGCCTGCTACTAGGGAGCCTGGGGCCAAACCCTGAAATCCAGGGCAAGGGGCCCAAAAAGGAACCCCACTCCCCAGGATTCTCTGCAAGCAGCAGAAGCCCTGTGCTGTGGAGAATGTTGGGGTGGGTCAACTCTTTCCAGGACCTGCAGGCGGAGAGGGAGCCTCCAGGGGCCCAAAGCTTTAAGTCCTCCACGTCCACG